TGTGTAAAATTAAAGATACAATTCTTACAGCGTTACAAATTATTTTGTGATTAATCTGTCCATGGCTGATTTATTGGTTGCCACAATATGCATGCCAATGACAATCAGTCAGGAAATATCGATGTCATGGAATCACAGTGAATTCCTGTGCAAATTAACTTCTTATCTGCAAAGTAAGAATTTTTACAAAGCTCTCAAATAATTGATAATCCAGTCTGATCGTACTTATCATTTGTATGTATTTTTATGCTATTTTATTGTGTGAATAATATTGTTGATTATTTAATCACTTACTGTGCTTGTGTATATTTTCTGCACGACTTTACATATATATAAAAACATTGTAAATATAAATAATTATCCGATTTGAATGGAAATATATACAGAAAAGCTCTCTATTATGAGATAGGTGCCTAACATAAAATAGCGGCGTTTCTAAACTAATAAATGCTATCTATTGGTTCCACTAATTTATTGCTCTTGGATTGAAAATTATTTAGTCAAAAATTCATTATTAGATCATGCCTGTAGTCTTGTAAAAAAAGATTTTAGAATTTAGATGTTTTCAAGTTTCATTGAGATGAGTCTTTAAACCTTGTTTATTATTTAAATAAATATTTGGCAATAAATTCTTCATGTAATGATAGAGTAAGATCGTTTTAATAGAAAAATACGAAATATGTTGAATTGCTTAATTACAAATGTTAGATTTGATGATCATAACTCATAAAACGTGGAAATCATAATATGAGATACCCCGAGTATTTCTAATATGAAATAACCTATGCTGCTGTATTATAGTGAAAATTGTTGCTAAATTATGAATGTTATTGTGTAATAATAAAAAGGACAATTGGAATGAACATCGATGCTTACAATTAGTTTCAACTATCTGAAGACGAGTCTCGGGTACATTGCATCGCATGCTCATTTTGCGCGCACATTGGCTGTGTCTGTTTGTATTTTAGAAACATTACATGAAGATTTTTTAATTGCATTAATACTGATGTACTTTGCGTTTTATTATCGATTTCTCGGATCATATTAGGAGCATAATTTTTTGACTTTGCAATTTTTGACTTACTTTTTACATTTCTTTAATTTTCAGAAAAAGTAGAATAATTTGAATTAAATTTTTTACATAACATTATTTAAAAAAATAAAGCTTATTAAATTCTTTTCTATTATTTTTTTAAAATTCTGCTCATAGACTTCTAGCATTTACCCAAAATGAACTCGGTATCTCATAATAAGGGCTTTTTCTCTGTGTATATGTGTGCGTGCGTGCGTGCGTGCGTGTGTGTGTGTGTGTGTATGTGTGTGTAATATAAAAATATATATATAATATTTTTTGTTACATTTATAAATTTTCTAATTGCATAATCACTTGTGCGTGCAACAGGTGTAGGTGTTACTGCCTCAATATATACTATTATGGCTATGAGCATCGATAGATATCTGGCGATAAGAAATCCCATGATTCTCCGCTATATATGTAGTCATAAGAATATTATTCTCGTTATCGTATCTATTTGGCTGGCATCCATGGCTTTTTTTATTACAATCTACGGAGCGGTAAGTCTTTTGATACCGAGTCTGTGGTGATTAATTGTCAAATTGTAGAAACTAATGATGAAGTGAAGACCGTTACATCTATTTTATATGTATACTTTTTATATATATATATGACATAAGCGAATGATCTTTTTTTTTACACAGATGAGACTCCAGGATCCAATGACGAAAGTCATCAATAAGGCTCTGGAGTTAATGGCAAGCGAGAATTATACACACAATAGCATCTCGCCAACACCACCAGGTTTCAATATGTGTATAGAGGATTTTACGTCATTAGGAATTAGACGAGATGTCTTCGGGAGCATACACTTCGTATTCTCTACTGCTATTCCATGTAAGTTTAAATAAATATTTATTGTCCTTCTGTGATATTACAAGAATCTTCTCCTTATATAATTTTTTCATGACAAACATGCATAAATTGCAACAAAGCAAATTCTTGCTTTCATATTGCCATACATAAATCTACAATCTAAATTTAAATTTGACTCTACCCATAAGCAGATATTTGCTTATACGAGTATATGCGTGTATTATTATTTTAATTTCCATACATAATGCTTTCTGAGTAAAGGCGATTAAACTAATATTAACTCGTTATTTTATTAAATAAGAACAATATTACATTTTTTAAGAAGATTTTTATACGTTTACTCTTGCACAAGCACATGATTGGATCACGTACTTGATAGAATAGTCTTTGTTTTTTTTTTCTTTACATATTTTCTTATTGTATATTTAGGTCTCGTTGTATTACTAGCCTACTCGTTGATTGGCTTCACTCTTTGGTCTAAAAAACCACCCTTCGATTACGATAACAGGGAAAGTGCCAGCTCGCGGCAGGTCAGATCAATGAGAGATCTAAAATTTTGTAATTAAATTATTAGCAATAATTTTAAAGTTTTCCTAAAAACGCAGCCGAATTCCGAAAATTTGCGAGATCTATTCTAGATACGCTGATATCTTTTATTCATAGAGCTCCAAATTACGACATGAAAGAAAACGAGTTGCATTGATATTACTATTCCTCGCTATACTATTCGCTCTGTGCTGGATGCCTTACAATATTACCAAATTTTTGATTGATCTCGACGTTATCGGTAAGTGCGAAATCTTGCAATAATTAATCTTGCAATAATTAATCTTGCAATAATTAATCTTGCAATAATTTAATTTCTATATTTTGCAAAAATAATATTTTGTATCTAAAATATTAATTATAAATAAATGTCAATTACAAGTTGATATATTTCCTATTCTTGATGATTTCTCTAATTCTCTACGATCTCCAAGTACATTTTGTAATAAGAGTAATCCATATAATAATAAAAATAACCTAGTCTAATAATAAAAATGCAATCTTTTTCACGTCAATAAGTATAGATTAATTAATTTTAATAAATTTCTTATACACTTTATTTACAGGCCCATCAACGTCAACAAATAACACACTGAAGTACTTCCTATTTTTGGGACATGCAAACAGTGCTTTGAATCCTGTGGTTTATTGTTGGATGACCCGTGGTTTTCGTCAGAAACTTGTGAAGATTTTATGTTGTATCTCCAATAATCTATCGCATTATGATCCTTCGCGAAGAGTAAATTAATTACACATTTTTTTCATAAATTCTCAATTTTTTTATAAAGTTAAACCAATAACCCCTTGCAGTAAAACCCTTGCTTTTCTGAATGAATACAAATTGAAATAATAATTATGTGGATCTCTAGACATTAGACAGGTATTATCAGAAATACTTTCATAAAAAAATGTTTTTTTTTATTAAATTCTCTACACACTTAATTAGATGGTTCAATACTTGAGAAAAGTTATCGATACTGATAAGTTTCCTAGGTAGAATACAAAATCATAAAAAGATCAAGATAACAAGTTTTGTGTTGAAACTTTTCAAGTTTCATGCTGAATACAGTTATTAATATTTATTTTTTTGTGCTTTAGTGCTAGATTTGCAAAGTTAATATGTTATATTTTCTATTTTATTTTTTAGTGTACGGGATGAATGTGAAATTTTTTTCTCTAAGGAACTGCAAACTATAAAAATGCTATTGAAACTGCTAATATTTTTGTCATACAGGGTGGGGCAAAAGTCCCGCTACCATTTTGATTGCGCGCCATCTTGGTTATGTGACGTATAGCTCAGTTTAGCTTTAACCGTTGTGTTGTGTAGACGTCCAAATTTTATATGGTAGCGGGACTTTTGCCCCACCCTGTATTAATAAAATGTCATGCTAACTTTACGGTATTAATATTTAAAAAATGGTAGTTCTAATAGCACTATTCATATTAGGTGAAAAAAGTGTACAAATTAATTCGATGCCTTTATCGATGACTTTATCGAGTTAAAATCGCCAAGTTTCTTCCGCGAGGGCTTCGTCAGTTGCTCGAAAGATAGATAAAAAGTCATCAAAAACAATAAAGACTATTTCGAATATTAAATGTGTACTTATCTTTGTGCGAGTAATTTTAAATTATGAAAAAAAGACACCGAATTAATTTGTACACTTTTTTTATATATAGTTCTACAATTCCTTATAAAAATAAAAAAGAATTCCTGATTGTTTATATTAAAAGAAACAAATTTAAAAATATGATGCCCTAACTTCGCTAATCTCGAATGATAATATGAAAATTAATCATTCTTTTTACATTGTTGCAGAACGCGATGACGATCGCTGATGACGTGCCATATATCCCTTGTAAGCGAAAGCTGATAACTGTGACAAAGAAACAATGTGTTGTAGCAAAACAGCAGCAAAAAGGCTTTACATCATTTCAACAGCTTTTCTCAGGACGCAGCAGTCATTCGTATAATTTGAAACGTATTAATATTGAATTGAAAAATATTTATGACAATTCGAACATACAGATTGCTCCAGGATATGATAGGAGGGATCAACGACAGAATAAGGACAAGTATGAATTAAAGACCAGCCAATTAGAGTCGAGTACTTTATGTACCACAGATGGACAACGTTAACTAGCTGCTCCACTGTGCCAATTTTTTTCTGAAAATAGGCGTTTATTATCGATTGTTTCCTCTTTAATAAAAAGACTCTTTCTTTTTTATTAAAATTTTATTCTCACAATACGAATAGCACGTAATAAGTCCAAGCACTGTCGATCATCGCTGCGCAATGACATTACGACACAAGGTATGATACAATGAAATTTGTACACTAAATCGATGAGATACCTACTATAGTAGTGCGTACGTGCATGTATATATGCGTATGTCGTGTATGTGTTCATATATTCACGTCATACAAATAAAGTGGCATAGAAAAATATGTATGCTCCGCTGTATGGCCCCACGTGAATCGTATTGCTTACGTCCTAAATTCCTACTTTTTTTCGTATTCCCACGGGATAATCATTGCAGTCTCCACGCAATTTCTGTTCTTTACTTCTGCGTTTGTCGAAATGGATGGTTGAAGGTACTTCCAATTGCGACGATACTTAAAAAAAAAAAAAAAAAAAAAATCTTCATTTCCTTTTCCGTAAAAACAAATTTTGATCTCTTATTGTCTTGTTATATGATCTTACTTATTGTCGCATTTTCGTTACAAAAAAAGGAGAGAAACTGCATTCAAATGCTCATCTCCCATTTATCTTTTCGATATTTTATGTAGTATAAAAAGTAGCTATGGTACGAGGTAGTAATCTTGAAGATCATATTTATTTCCAAACATTGATATTTTATTAGTGTGTTCCTTGAAATGAAGTCGTTTTTTATTCAGATTATACCCGTGGGAACTCGAAAGCATTGATACTATTAATTATGCATCTACTTTGTGTAAAATTTGTTTATTATTTACTCAGGAATCTTGGATCGCGTTTATATTCGCATGAGGCGGCATGCTTCTTGCACGAGGATGAATGAACGAACTTTTAGGATAATCTACGACGACCGTCTGTTTCTTATCGCGGAATTATTAATACAAATTTTTTTCACTTTTACTATACGATTGTTTGTATTACAGCAAACTATAACACGGATATAAAAAAAGGTTCATTAAATGTGAACTATATATATAATTACTACAAAATGTTGTTTGCATTACAATAAACTACAAGATGACTATATAAAAAAAAATTATCGATAAAATATCAGTTATATATATTATTATAAAATAAATCTAGAAGAAATAGAAAAAAAAATAATATTCCTTAAAAATATTGCGTGTTTTGTGTCCGCATCGACTTAATTGCAACGTTTCAACTATAGATTTTTTCCAGATTCCATTCATAAACTCTGCGTGTAAAGATTCTTGAGACGCTCGAGAACACATCTTTCCCACAAAAAAAAAATCTCGCTGAAAAGAATTCGTGTGTACGATCGGTTTGAACGTTTCGTCTCTATTTGGATTTTCTCGAGAAAGAAAAGTGAAGCGATCGTCGCATGATTTTCCCGCCTGATCGTTGTTCATCATCCTCGGGGAAGCCTACCCGCCGCGCCGCACACTCACCATCCTATAGTCCCATTACAGAGATCCTTGTAAACCGATTCCGCTATCACGCCATGACTCTGACTGTGGCTGTTCAGAAACCTCGACTTGTTGCACGTCGTCGATGGTCTCTTCTGACCGACGTAGTTAGCGTCAAAGCTGTGCTTCGCGTGTAATCTGCTGCCCTGTCCGTGCGCCGCATTTTTAAAACAATTGTTGGTTGTCACAGTATCCACGGTGAATGATTTGTTGACAAAGTTGTCACTACCGCGGCAAGAGGTGCGATTCCGCACTTGAGGCTGCTGTTGAGTTAGCAACGGCACCTGATTAAAATAATTGCGAATGGCAGCCTGCGACTGGTGGCCGATACATGGCGATTCCGGACTACTAACTCTCGTGGTCCTGACGTCCATGGTCCTGACAACAGTCTTTGCAACGTTGCTGGACTGTTTAATTGTATTCAGACTGTCGCTGATCCTAATCAGCTTCGTCGGCATCTTTTTAGACCAACGATTGTCGCCACGACAATTAGCAGATGCCGAGGTGAAGGGCCTTGGCGCCTGAGTAAGGATCTGTTGCCTGTTGACTCTTCGCGATTTGGTGCGTTGTGCTATTGCTGTTAATTGGTTTGATCGGCCTCTGCCGGCGTACTGAAATTGAAGAAATTCCATAGGCACGATAAAATATCGATACGAATATAGATAGTAGCGTGAATTGATTTTGATGTATGGCTACCTATCAACAAATTCGACATAAGTGCAGAGTACATATATGATGAAAACTGAAGTTCGATTGTGTATTATACAACTTGAAGAAAAATACAAAAATAAGCAAATTTATTAAAATATTTATAATTTCATTGTGGTCAACACTAGTAAATTTGCTCACTTTTGTAATTTTAACCAGTTGTATTATGCACAATTAAACTCCTGAGGATTTATCGACGTGTTTAACCCTGCGGTAATGAAACGCGTCATTAAAAAGTATTTCAGCATTTTATGTCGTCCAACAAAATGATTCGATATAATTACAATTGCAAATTAACTTTAAAAAATTTCTTTTATTACATCAAATACGATAAAGGAAAGCCAAGAACGATCAAATTTGAATGTTTCAAATAATACATTATATATTCTTATATTAAATTAATTTATTTCAGATATAAGACACTCTTCCTGGAAAGTTGAAAGGTCCCAGGTTCGAATCCTGGCAGAGGTAATATTTCTCGCGATAAGTTTCTTACTTTCTATCTATTCTAATTTATTAGTGTTTTAGAATGATTGTATTGAAACCGAAAGTTTTTCTCTCAATCATATCTGAAATAAATTAATTTAATATGAGAATATATAATATATATATTATTTGAAACATTCAAATTTGATCGTTCTTGGCTTTCTTTATCGTATTTGATGTCGGTTGTGCTTAAAATTTTTAAATGTTTCTTTTATTACTTTATTACGTTATTCAAAATTTATTTATTTCCTTATCGGAATAAAGAATTACCTAAATTATATTATTTATATGGCACTTGCCATTACGGCGGGGTTAAGAGTTTACTCTCAAATGTGTGTATAGCGTGCATAAATTAATATCGAATGCAATCTGCTAGGTGATGCATAAAATGAGTGGTTACAGTACCTACTAAACGCAAATCCCACACGACATGCAGCCTGTAATAACAAAATTTACCGTTTACCTTCCCGTGATAAGATGATTCTTAACAAGGAGGCGACAGAGCAAACATGGAGGAGTGTGAGATAAACAAGAAAATAATCTTACACTCACCATGGCTATCTGATCTGATTGAATGGAACGCTGAGATTTCGACAACTGCTGCTGATTAAAGTAGAAGCAACTTTTAGCCGCTGCTGGGGGTATGTTTCCGTTCGTCAAATTACATGCGTACTGTGTCGCCACGTTTCTAACTGTCAATTTATCGCAAATGCAATAATTGAAATTTCTTGGAGATCAATATAATCTCGATAAGTTTAATTTCCGATGTTACAGACACGCTCATCAATTAATCTTCATGCTTATCATAAAATTGAAATATTATTAGTGTAAGATTCTTACCATTATGCCGGGTGTTTGTTAAGGTCTTCTGTGGCGGATCTATGGGATTGTTCATTGTCTGTGTTCTTATAACGCCTCGCGGATTATTATCACCCTGAGATGGCCTGATTGTCTTTTTGCTTGGCAATGATGAGCACGCTGAAAAGGAAATAGTTTGTAAAAAAATAAGTAGCATTAAAAATTAATAGCATTAATAATATTAAAATGCTTGTCAATTTAATTTGTGATATCACTCCAACTTTAGTTTAGAACTATGTTTCAAGACTGACAAATAATCGACGTACAGTTTGTTTAAACTGGAAATTACATAAATTTACAAGAAATAATTATTAGGTACGAAAAACTATTATACTTTGACCGAACATGGCGTTTTCCGCTCATGTATGTTTAGAAATTAATAGAATAAAATTGTAGGAGCTGAAGAAATCTCATTTAATACATTCCTCTCACCGACAATCGTATCACCTTGGCCGATCACCGAGTTACTGCTACTATTCCTGGTTTCCTTCCTAATGCTTTCAGACAATCGCCGCAGCCTGGATTTTGACCTATAAAAATACGAAAAAAAAGATGAAAATTGTTATAAAATATATAAATATCTATTTTTATTAAAATTATTTTTTATAAAAAAATAGAGAGAATCAATTACAACTATATTTTAATAATGCAACACAATCTTTGAATAAATCAATAATCGGTGATTGCATGAATAAATATATGCTCACATATTTTTATGTTTCCGATGTTTTTCGTCCATCATCGCATACAGCTTATTTCTATATTCGTCGACTGAGAGTTGCACATCGTCATTCAACAATGGTATGACACTGGAGCCCCTTTCTGGTTCGTTTCCTCTCTTGTGAAAACTGTTGAAAGGGAATTTTAAATATATTTATTAATTTACTTTATTTTCATAATATATATTAAATATTTTAAATATAATTTAGATATTGCAATAATTTAAAAAAATGATTGTTTTTTTCTTTACATACGTACGAATAATAAATTATAAATATTGATTGTGAGCAAAGAACAATTGAATTAAAGAAAATCTATGGATGATTTCAAAAAGAATAGAAATTTAATTTAATCAAATACAAAATTAATTTAATTTGAAATCTTTCTACACTTTCTACGGAGTTACATTATTATAAATATATACGCACTCGGCGACATATGGATGCTTTAGTGCTTCGACTGCCGTAAGCCGTTGCGTGGGGTTGAAGATTATCAAATTGCTGATAAGATCCAAAGCTTTCTCTGACACTTCTGGCAACAAATCTTTTAAAGTTCTTCTAGGTCTATTGGGTGTTTTTTCCAATAAATTAGTTCCATAACCGGCGCTGACCGATATTAGATCTGAAAAAATTATTGGGAAGGATCCAGTTATTAGTTTTCTATCTTTTCTTTTTTTTTTCATTTTATTAAACAGTTGAGGGAAGAATTACCTTCGTCTGTCGGTGGAGGCAAAGTTACCATTATTCTCTCAACTTGGTTTATCGTTGATGAACCGGGAAAGAGTGGCTTTCCAAGTAACATTTCACCGAGAATGCAACCTAAAGACCACATATCTATCCCCTTTGTATATCTAAAAATATTTATATTGCCATGTGAATGATAGAATCCGATTCTTGCAATATCTAAACTTCGCGTATAAAAAAAATTCGAATTACCCAATTATACAGGAATGACATTAAATTCAAGCATTTATGATATAAAAGTTTGGAACGAATACATATAGATATGGGTATTTTTTTAATAATATTAAATCCTATCACAAATTATTACAAATAAATTATATTTTTATAATATTGAACACTATTATAAATTATTGAAAATCGTTTTTTATTTAAATTGATAACCATAAGTTTGCACAATAAAAATGCGAATAACTCTTTCCTAATAATCACTTTCCGAACAGAAGCAAATCGAAATGATATTTCAGTTCTGTTACAATTACAAAATTGTATTATAATATTGCATTTTATGTTCCATTTTAAATAAACATGTACCTCTTTGAAGCTATCAGAATTTCTGGTGCGCGATACCACCGTGTAGCGACGTAATCCGTCAAAGTTGGATCATTTCCCGTCTCACCATCACCTTCGCCGATCTGCGTAACCGAGCGTGCCAGACCAAAATCCGCAATCTTACAATGGCATTGCGCATTTAAAAGAACATTGGACGGCTGCAAAGAAAGAATAACGCAAACTCGACATAATGGAACAGTGTATTTTCTCCATCATGAACAAATACGACAAATTAAAAATTGGATATGAAAAAGGTAAAAAAAATTAAAAAGATTTCACATACAATAAAACCGAAAAAAGTATTTATCAAATTTACGAGATTTAAAAGTTTACAATTAAAAATAAAATTAAAATTATATAAAATTTTTCTAAATACATTTTTTTAGTACAAATTAGTTAATTAAAAATTAACTGGACTTTTTAAGCACACTTTGAAATCATAAGACTCACCTTCAAGTCTCGGTGGATTACGTTGCCTGAGTGTATGTACTTGATCGCCTTAAAAAGTTGGTACATAATGAAGACCTTATGGATGTCCTTGAGGATGTTGCCCCGCTTAATGACGTTGTGGAGATCGGTTTCTGGGGAAACGGGCCGAAACGTGTTTCAGGCCAAAAGTCTGAGAATCGGCGCACATGGCGTGACCTTCGTATGCGTATGTGTGCGAATTCTTCTTCGGACCGGGTAAAACTCACCCATGTACTCGAAAACGAGGTAAATGTCCCGATCGTTGTCCGCCTTATGCAGTCCGATCAGCTTTATAATGTTCTCGTGATTGGCGAACGACAGTAAGAACATAATCTCGCGAAATGTACGCTGCGCATCCGTCTGATTTCTGAAGGCGTCAAAGATCTTCTTCACCGCGACGGTGTCCTTCCTTTTCTTTTCGATTGCCTTCCATACTATACCGTAAGCCTGTATAAAAAAGAAAAATTAAATAATGTTACTGTCATTGTTATATAGAAAATCTATTTAAAAAATAAGAAATTTTTTAACTATTATCTTCGCATATATTTCTTATTAAAATTATAATTACTCAATAAATTCTTAATAATATTTAAACAAATGTATATTTAATATAAATAAGGATTATATACAAAATTGTTTTATAATATATAATCGGTACGTTTTCTATTTCACTTTTACTGATTGGAATTATCTCGATGCCGTAAAATAAAAATAAACAGTACTAAACACTATATATAAGTTATTGCATAAATTTGCATTATTATGATGTAAATAAGGATGCAATCTATCATCAGATACACACAAATTATGTAAATAGACGTCTAACAAAAATTGACTTGCGGTACCACAATCTGTTTGCCATCGTTATCGTTGCGAAGGCGACATTATTGATTGTCTCCAACTTTACTTTCCTGAGGTAGATAATCATGACGATTACTGACATCTTCTTCAAAAGGAAAATGTTGGAAAATGTTGATATAATAAAAGTTTTTATCATATAAATTTTATATTTCGTGTATATCATATAATACCAATATACGTACTATGATTTCATTTTCTTATCAAACTTTTATTATTTTACGTTTTATTACGTCATTGTGTTTTATTATCTTATTGTTATCAAGATAGCAATAAGATTACGTAAAAAAATAATTTTAATAAAATTGAACTAAAAATTATAAAATAATCGACAAAATATTATACATGAAGCAATTGTAGAAAAATTATTGAGATAAATTTGATAACAAAAAAATTGGTTTCTGAAAAAAAAATTTTTTTAATATTAAATGACATGAAAATATCGAATATATATAATTTACTTTTTGTTAAACTGTATATATTTATCGCAATTAAAAATTTCATGTTTATTTGAAATTTATATATATATA